AAGAGCTTTGAAGCCCAGCAGTGACCCAAGTCCCTTCCAGGGGTCCCTCCCGGTTCTTCCCAAGGATGGGGACCCCCCAAACACACGCTCGCTGCCCTTACAGCCAGGTGGGTGTTACAGAAACAAGCCTGCCACCTTGAAAGCCCAAAAGTTATCCCCAAAATGCCTCTGCCAGGGAGTTACCAGGTGGCTGAGGAACTGCTCACACCACCCTGCTCACCCACTGCTGCTTCTCTTCTGCTGCACCGCGGGGCTGGCAGCCCCAGCCCCCGAAATACCTCCCTGAGTCACACCAGGGGTGGAAGGATGCTGAGAAACTGCAAGGGGGGCAATGAGAAACCACCAAGTCATGGGAACTGGAAGGGCTGACGGTAATTAAAGTAGTAAAGTAATTAAACATGTGGTGCTTGCCTCAGAGCACCCCATCGCTGCAGCCCCCAGTAGCTGTGCTGGGGGGAAAGGGCAGGCGCTTGCTGGGTCTGCTCTATCCTGCGAGCCCGTGATTTTCAAGAGTTTTTTTTTCTCCTGCAAGGCTCGCATTGGGTTTGACTTGACTTTTCGAATACACCGAGCTCTGCTTTATCAGCACGATGTGCTTTCAGCCCGGTTGGAAGCAGCAGCTGGAAGCCGACACATGCTGCTCCTCCAAGACTGACCACAACCACGTCCACCACCGCCTCCGAGAGGTGTCCATCCGTCTGTCTGTCCGTCCACAGGCACCGTCCACCCTGCGTTACCCGAGGAGCTGGAGCTGTCGCGGTATGCAGCATCCTCTGCCCTCAGCCGAAAACCTCACTGCACGTCCCAGTGTGTGCAGTGGGACACGGGCAGTCGGGGCTCCCTCGGGTCCGGGCTCCCAAGTACTGCAGCGTGAGTGCTGGAGGAGACTCAAGGCCTTGGACTTAAACGGCTTTTTCCAGCTGACAATTTAAGCACCCCGGGGAGAGGCAGTCCAGCCTGTCCGATGAGCACTCCACAGGTGTTTCTCAAGCATTGGGGCACAAGAAGCTTCTGCTCTGACACTTTTTTGGGATTTTTTTTTCCCCCCTCCCAAAACAGACACCAGCTCCTCATTGCACCAAGTTCTTTCAAACTCCACTCTGCCAGTGGACACCTTTGCCATGGCCAAGCCCTGTTGCTGCTGAGGACGGGCAGGGGAGGTGACGCTCACAGCTTACAGGGCTGCCTGTTGTCCCGTGGGCCAGGGGAGCATCCTTCTCTGGTGTGCGGGAGGGCAGCAGCTCTGTTCCCATCGTATTTTTTGAATGATCCCCCCAGGAGATGGCTCCTGATGAGGTTTCAAGTCCTTTCCCCCACCTGGGAGGGGGCTGCTGTGGCAGGAACAGGGCTGGCTCGACACCGGGCACCCACGCCGGGGTGGGCTCAGCAGCACATCCCCACTGACCACCACCACCGCTGTGCGGCTCTGGGATGCTGCTCACGCGGGACCCCCACGTGAAGCTGCACTTTTAGCACAGACTTGCTGCTGAAAGTGATGGGATGTAGGGAGCGGGGCGGCCCTGTGCAGCATCCCCCCTCCCCGCACCCCACGGGGGTCGGACAGGCTCCACCAGCCCAGAAAACCGTTTCTCTCCCTTCGCCTGACAACCCTCCGCTGCTTTCTCCTCCCAAGATGGTCGCTGCCAGTAATAGCAGGGAAAGTCACATCCAAGCTGGGAAAATAACATGTTATTTTCCCAGCTGTGATGTCAGAGCTTGTCACGCTCGCCGGCTCGGCAGCAGGGCAGGCAGGGCACGCCTGGACGTCCCCAAACGGCCACCAGGCCTGGCTGTCCCCCCAGGGGCTGTAATTGTGTTCTCTTTTGGCGGCAGCTCTGCTTTTGCTTCCCAAATGTGCTGGAAAGTGGCACATCGCTGCCACTGGGACGGGGCTGCTCAGTGCTCCACGGCCGTGCTGGGCACCGCAGGATGCAGCACAGTGGGTGCATCGCTCCCGGCCCCGGAGAGCATCTCTGCTCCCGGCACTGGGACACCTACCATGGAGACATCCCAAACCGGGTCCTTCCCCATCATCGCCAGTGCGGAGCATCAGTGCATCCCAGGTGTTAGCTGGGTTAGAAAGTGTTTTCTTTCTTTCCTCCCGCTTCCACGGTATGTTTCGGAGCAGGTCTCCCTCGCCGAGCCCACCCTGCATCCCGGCCGAGCGCTGCAGCCTGAGCCCCGGGGATGGAGGGACCCTCAACCCACCCAGGCACAAAGTGGGAGAGAAACCCACTGCCCAGCCCGGAGCGAGCACTCCTCTCCTCTCACCTCCCGCAACACCGTTGGAAGATATTCCTCCTGTTTCTTCCTTTACAACAAGCCCCAAGTCTGCTCTTAAAACGCACTAAAACGGCGACAAAAGAGGACGGCTCAAATCCTCTTTAACCCATCCCCGCCGCCCAGCTCGCCCCTCCGGACCGACACCGTGCGGGGCGATGTCCCCCACTCCCCACCTTCGCAAGAAGGTACCGACAACCCTCCCCCTCCCTCCTCGTCCTTCAGAGGCACTTAATCCATTACAAATTTCACAAAGCCC